TATAGGCAATTACAAGGTTAAAAGAGTAATCAACAAATACATTACAAGAAAATGAAAATTAATAAATATTACACAAAAATTACAAGCCTTCCATTCAAATTTAAGGCCATACCCATTTAATGCAAAAAGGGACATGATTCCCTAATTCTAGGGTTCATGTCTTCAACCACCCTATTAGTTGAAAAAACTCACTTTATTAGCCCAAAACTTGATCAATGATCCTAATCAAGTCTACTAATAAGGGTGCAAGAGATTGGGCCTTGAAGATCTTGCAATTGGATCCAATAAGGGTTCAAGTGGACTTTCCCCTTTGGAATGAGAAATGGGCCGAATGGGCTTACTTCAACACTTGGGCTTTTCTCTTGGTGGACTTGAGCTTCCTTTGTTGGGCTTGGGCTTGGAATGGTTTGGGCCGAAGTGCTTGGGCTCTCTCTCCCCTTGGGACTTGCTTGGGCCGAATCTCCTCCAATGCTTTCCACACTCCACAATCCAAGTGTTTTAGGACTTGGAATGCAATTCTTTGATTCAACCGAATTAACAAGTGTTTTAGGACTTGTAATTCCTTGTCCACTCATGTTTACAAGTGTTTTAGGACTTGTAAACGTATCATCCTCCTCGGGTTGAGAAGGATTTGCCCTCAAATCCAAATCGTCCTCCAAGTAAGGGCTTAGATCCCCCACATTGAAGGTGGCCGAGACTCCCCCATACTCACTAGGCAACTCCACCTTATAAGCATTATCATTTACCCTCTCAACAATCTCAAAAGGTCCATCAGCCCTAGGAGCTAATTTACTCTTCCTTTTACTTGGAAACCTCTCCTTTCTCAAGTGAATCCAAACTAAATCCCCCGGTTGGAAAAGCTTAGGTTTTCTATGCTTGTTTGCCTTATTCTTGATCTTCTCATTTGAATATTCTATTTGAGCTCTCACGGTTTCATGGAGTTTCTTCATTTGTTTCAACTTCTCACTAGCATTCACACTTGGCTCAAAATCAAGGGGTAGGGAAGTGAGATCAAAAGGGATAAGTGGGTTTACTCCATACAACACCTCAAAAGGAGTGTGACCCGTAGTAGAACTAGGACTCCTATTGTAGGTAAATTCAGCATGTGCCAATTGCAAATCCCAATCCTTTAAATGCTTACTCACTAAACTCCTTAGGACATTACCCAACACTTTATTCACCACTTCGGTTTGACCATCGGTTTGCGGGTGGTGTGAGGTGCTAAACATTAATTTTGTCCCTAGTCTACCCCATAAACTTCTCCAAAAATGACTCAAGAATTTTGTATCCCTATCCGAGACAATGGTCCTCGGAATGCCATGAAGTCTCACCACTTCTCTAAAGAACAATTCGGCAATTTTGGAGGCATCATGCGTGGTATGGCATGATATGAAATGGGCCATTTTTGAGAACCTATCAACCACTACTATGATGGAATCTTTTCCTCTTTGTGTCCTAGGCAATGCAACCACAAAATCCATGCTAAGGTCCTCCCAAGGGTGCTCGGCTATGGGTAAGGGTAGGTATGGTCCGGCCTTGAATTGACTCTTAGCTCTTTGACATGATCCACACCTTCTAATAAGAGCTTGAACATCCCCTAACATTTTAGGCCAATAAAAATATTCCTTGATGGTTTCTAAAGTCTTAGTAACCCCAAAATGGCCTGCCAACCCACCACTATGTGCTTCCCTCATAATTAGTTCTCTAAAACTACCCTTAGGGACACATAATCTTCTACCCTTGAACAAGTACCCATCATGCATAATATAATTCTCAAAACCAGGTTTCCCACATTCAGTTATGCATGTTTTCATCTCCAAATCTTCCTCATAGCACAATTTCATTAATTCAAAACCTAGAACTCTAGAATCAAGCAAAGAAAGTAAGGCATACCTTCTAGAGAGTGCATCGGCTACAACATTGTGTGATCCTTGTTTGTAATTCAGCACAAAAGAAAAGGATTGGATGAACTCAACCCACTCAGCATGTCTTGTGTTGAGTTTACGCTGCCCATTGATGAATCTCAAGGCTTGGTGGTCCGAGTGGAGGACAAATTGTTTCGGCCGAAGGTAATGACTCCAATGGTCAAGTGCTCTCACTATAGCATAAAACTCCTTATCATAAGTGCTATACTTCCTCCTTGAATCACTAAGCTTCTCACTAAAATATGCTATTGGCCTCTTGGATTGATTCAAAACTGCCCCAATGCCAACACCACTTGCATCACATTCTACTTCAAACACTTGGTTGAAATCGGGTAAGGTAAGGATGGGAGCTTCACACAACTTCTTTTTAATCAAATTGAAAGCTTCATTTGCTGCCTTAGTCCACTCAAAAGATCCCTTCTTCAAACATTCAGTTATGGGAGCCATAATGGAACTAAAATTAGGGACAAACCTACGGTAGAAAGAGGCTAAACCATGAAAACTCCTAACTTCCGTAATTGAACCAGGTTTAGGCCAATTTTGAATGGATTCTACCTTGGATTGATCTACCTTAATTCCTTCTCCCGAAACTACATAACCCAAGAACACCAATTGTTTCATAAATAGCTCACATTTTTCAAGCTTAGCATACAACTTCTTTTGCCTCAATAATTCAAGCACTAAGCTAAGGTGTTCTACATGACTATCCTCACAAGTACTATATATCAATATATCATCAAAATATACAACCACAAATTTTCCAATGAAAGGTTTGAGTACCTCATTCATTAACCTCATGAAGGTGCTTGGTGCATTGGAAAGGCCGAAAGGCATCACCATCCATTCATACAATCCTCCCTTGGTCTTGAATGCCGTTTTCCATTCATCTCCCTCTCTCATTCTAATCTGATGGTAACCACTTCTTAGATCAATTTTTGAGAAGATGGTTGCACCATGAAGCTCATCCAACATTGGGGCTGGACTATGAGATACAGTATAAACCGGGGTTAGAAAATAGAGCCGCAGATGCCTTATCCAGACGAACCGATAGGGTGGAATGCAACTCTCTCTCTACTTGTTATTTTGGCAGCCGTAAAGAATGGGAAGAGGCTATTCAGCAAGATCCTAAGTTGAACAAAATCTATCGAGACTTGATTACAGATCCCAAAAGCCACCCACATTTTCACTTGGTGGGCCACCAGCTTTTCTATGATGACCAACTAGTATTACCTCACGCAAGTTCGCAAATTCAACTCCTCCTTTAGAAATTTCACTCATCTCCCATATGTGGACATTCGAGAATTTTCAAGACCTACAAATTGTTGTCTTAAGTTGTCTATTGGGAAGGTATGAAGAGTAACATCCAGACCTTTGTTCGCAACTGTGTTACATGCCAACAGAATAAATATGACAACGTCCAACCCGTCGGACTATTGCTACCACTACCGATACCAACCCAAGTTTGGGAGGACCTTTCTATGGATTTCATCATTGGCCTACCAAAAGCTCAACGTGTCGATACAATACTAGTGCTGGTTGATCGGTTAACCAAGTATAGCCACTTCATACCTCTCCAACATCCTTACACGGCCCAACAGGTAGCTGATCTTTTCATCCAGAACATTGTTAAAGTACATGGGTTTCCACAAACAATTGTTTTGGATCGGGACAGACTCTTCATGAGCATTTTTTGGGGAGAGATGTTTAAACAATCAGGTACAAAGCTACACATGAGCACAGCGTATCACCCTTAATCGGATGGCCAAATGGTTAACCGCTGTGTTGAGACCTACCTTCGTTGCTTTGCGGGACAACAACCAAAACAGTGGCCTCAGTGGTTAAATTAGGCAGAATACTGGTTTAATACAACCTTCAATCGGTCCTCAGGTATGTCTCCTTTTCGAGCATTATACGGTAGGGACCCACTAGTCCTCCTTAGATATTCTGAGCATGATCAGTGGTGGCGGTAGTTGATGAGCAAATGATCGAAAGGAATCACATTTTGGATGAATTAAAGCTCAATTTATCTCAAGCTCAAGGATCCATTAAGGCCTATGCGGATGGTAAGAGAAGGGATGTTCAATTCCAACCAAGTGACTTAGTTTACTTAAGACTCCAACCTTATTGGTCTTAAATCATTGGCTCGAAGACCCAACGAAAAACTCAGCCCCCGGTTTTATGGACCCTATGAAGTGACTGAAAAGGTGGGTCCTGTGGCTTACCGTTTACAACTTCCCACCACAGCCCACATCCATAACATGTTCCACGTCTCCCAACTGAAAAAAGTCACCTCTCAGCCAATCACCTCACTTCCACTTCCTCCTTTTCTTGATAGAGATATGGTACTCCAAGTTAGCTCGAGCAAGTCTTGCAAAAGCAAAGGCTGTTAAATGGGGACTATGAGGTTCTGATCAAGTGGAAAGGCCTACTGACTTGTGATAATACCTGGGAGCCCTATACAACCATCTGCAACCAATTTCCTTCTTTCCACCTTGAGGACAAGGTGGCACTCCTTGGGGAGGGTAATGATGGACCCAAAATATCCAGCTGGTATTCACGCAAGACAGGCAAGGGGAGACAAGGGCAAAAGGGGTAAATCATCCGAGGACAGGTGTCTTGTTAGTTGTTAGGATCCGGGGGTTAGAATAAAGGGTAGTGGTACCAAAGAAAGGGGATATCATTGTTTTTGTGCATGAATTGAATTTGGGAGGTGCTGGCCCTCGAAGACCAGCTGGTGCTACTATTTTACTGGTTTATTCCTAAAAACTCATTGTTCTTCTTAATCTTATTTTGATTAATACATCATTTTCACCATTTGATCTATTGAGTTGGATTGATGCTTGAATATTGTTGTCTGATACGTTATGGGTAAATATTAAACTGTGCTTGAGCTGTGGTTGTTGCGTGTGAGTTGTGAGGAGAGTCTGATAAGGTTTTGGTTTCCATCAGTTTCCCATATTTTACTGCCTTCGGCAACATGCAAACCAGCAGCAGTTATAGCACGCTCGAAGAGATTTCTTCCCTTCAAATACCATCAGGTGAAAATTCACATACAGTTGGATCATATTCTTGCACAAATCTCAAGCAGTCGCACCAAAGTGAGACAGACTACACCTAAACAAGTTCTAGTCGTTCAATTTTAAAGAACTACTTAGTTAAAGGGACTCCAAAGAACGGAATTAATATTTTGTCCCCTGATTCCACATATATGCAAATTCTAACTGAAAGTAGCAAGAACTTGATTTCCTACAAAAAGTAGGGAAAAAGATGACAACATCCAATTAAAACTTCCAAAATGTAATGCCACTTAAAAAAATAGATTTCCATTCCTAAGAAGTTTGAAAAAGTATATCCTATCACCTAATTTGGTGGAAAAATTTGATGATGCATCAAAAAGGAACCATGTGTCTTTAAACACCATCACAAATGTAAGAATATTGATATTCATTCTGAATTGCAAGGCGTACAATCATCTCTACCATAAAAATGAAACTAATGAGCCATTTTGTCATTAGTAATTACTTATTGGAATAATTCAGCCAGTCAAAAGTCATAGATCTGGCAAGCTAAAATTTTTTACCAGAAAGTTACTTTTAGGAAAATAACTAAAAATACCACGAATGAGAGTTCTTAAGATCACTATGTTTTAATCCATAAATCAACATATAAAGTAATTCAAAATCCATAATGATAACAAAAACCTACCAGATAATCAAAAACTCCTCTTTCATAAATCTTCTCAATCCCCAGAAATGCCTCAGGTCTGCAAAGTTGAAGTAGAGAATCAGCAAGAAACTACCTTCAGCAAGAAAGAGCGATAAAATCTTAAAATATACCCAAAGCTTTAGTATCAGTCATGCAGAACAAGAAAAGATCAAAATCTTAAAAATTTAGATGACCACCCTTTTATTTTTTTGCTTTGGGGGTAACTGTCATCAGGAGGTATACTTACTGATTTTCAACATTGAGCTTCATGTTTTGGAGAAACTAATATACTTATACTAAGAGAAATGAGTTTTGCAAGAAGGCAAGCAGGCTGTCCATAAAAGCAATGACAAGAGGGAACTCAAAATCTATAAACAAACAAAATATCAAACAGCCATAAATTATTAAAAACCAACCTCCCAAGTCAACCATCACTGCTTCTTATTTGAAACATATGAAAAAAAAAAATAGAAAGGAAGAAAGCTCAAAACTTAATTTCTTTTACTTAATTAAGCCGACATTTGAGCTAAGGTTCAGTAGATAGAAGTCACATAAACTTGAATTCAACATTGTTTTCACCATTTGAACCCCAAAAGATAATCACTTCCTCATTTCAAACAAATCCATTTAATTTTTCTCTTTATACTTTCTCCTGTTAACCATAAACCCTAAGCGATCAAAATTTGATCATGAAACCAATAACAAGAACACAAAATGAAAAAACTAAAACATACCCAGTTGAAATAGAAGCTTCATCTTGAGCCCACTCTTGCTACATAACAGGAGTCAATGGAAAAAATCTCATTCATAGCTTCTCTTGCTTGTCTCAGCTTCTCAATCTCACCCATCTTCCTCAAAACCCTTATATAATAAAACCACCAACAAAAACAATAAAAAAAAAAAACAATAATATAACAAAAAACAAAAATCCAAGAACTGGGTATTGAAATTCATATTCAAATTGATATAAAAACGTACTTGAACATGGACTTCATAGTTGGAGGGCTCATTGGCAAGCTGGGACTCGATAATTTTTGTTGTGCTTCATCTTCTGAGTCTGAGTCTAAGTCCGAGTCACTTGACTCTTTCAAGTCTAGACAGTTGGACTCTGTTGCTTGTGCGTTTTCGTTAGTATCCACCATAGTCGTGTTTGTGTCTTCTTCTTCTCGGGATTTTGGTCCTAGGATTTGACCTTCTGGTTCCATTCTTCTGCTTCGTTTGCTTTGTGTTTCTCTCAAGTGTACTGAAGGGTTGGTTTTATTGCACTGCTAAGTGCCACCTAGTGGTTTGGCGTGAAAACTTTTTCCCTAATTTTTGAAAATCACACTTCACCCCCAAATATATATGTTCTATTTTGGCTAATTTTCTTTGGCATAACATAAGGAAAAAAAATAGAGAAAACAAATAAAATAAAATAGGAAAATAAACTAAATTAAGATCTTAAATTTATTAGATTATCTTACATAGTATCCATTTTGAAAAGAAGACAAATTATTTTGGTATTGTCATTTTTTTCAGATGTAAAAAAAACTAACCGTTAATGGGTGATAACCCTCATACAGTTTACATCATTACATGCGGCATGACATGCAAAATGAAACTATCGCGAGGACCCAACCTTGAGCAAAAATCACTATTCAACACAATTTCTATGATGACCTAAAAATATTCAGTGAATAGATGATTTTGTAAAACATTTTTTCTTTACTTATGCCACTGTTTTAAAAGCCGGACCAGACCGGCCGGTCCAACCGGTTGGACCGTGAACCGGTCACATGTCCGGTTCGGGTTACCCTCAAACCCGTTAATAAGTATTAAGCCGTTTTAAATCGGTTGAAAATCGGATAATATAAGTGAACCGCCGGTCCAACCGGACCGGCGAAAAAACCGGTCCACACTTTTAATCCCTAATACGTGCCCATCGTCTTCTCTCACGCAGCCCATTCTTCTCTTCTTTTCTGTCATGCATCATCGATTCGTCGCAGCCTTTCTTCTCTTCTTCTCTGTCACGCAGCGTCGTAGTCCCTTCTCATCTTCTTCTCTTTCAATTTTTCTCACAAAAACTCTCACGGTTTCGGCTGTCTTCTGTTCTCTCTGAAATCCCACCCAAATCGCATCTGAACTCGTTGAAAATCAACGATGACGTCTTCCTCCCTCGTCGAAAATCGACGACATCTTCCTCCCTAGCTGAAAATGGACGGCGACAGCTCCATTCGTCGATCCAAGTAACGCCATTCCTCGCTCCCTTTACATTTAAGTTAACACCCTGTTCATTTAGGTTGATGCGGAGGGTTTTTTGTTTTCTTAGAATTCTTGATATGATTTAGTTGATGAAGTACATCAGTTGGCATTGAAGATAGTTTTTCTAAGCTTCAACACCTTCTAGATACGAGGATGTTAGTTGTTTAGATTAGTCTCTTCTTTCTATTGGAGGTGCATGTGCATGTTTAGAAGTTGAATTTTTAGATCATATTTCATGTGCACATATCTTAGACAGCTTTACTCGCCATAAATGTTAATCCTAGATTTGAAGTTAATGGTTAAGTTGTATAACCAGTGGCGTTAGTGCATTTTTTTTTAGTTTAAGAGAATTTGAATGATTAGGTCGGGTGAACATCCAGTGATAAACCATGGATCTTCTTATAAATGGTTTATTATGTTAATAGATAGCTAGATTAGAAAGCCGCATTCACTCCCAAACATTTGCTCTTTTTCTATGATTATGCTATTATAGTGATGATTGTTGAGCACTCTCCTGGTATCTCCATGACACAGTTTTAGGTGTCTTTATAGCTAGAGTATTTGGTTTGTTACTGTTTAATTTCTCCCCTAATATCTACCTCCTGTTATTGAGTGTGTAAGAGGATTTTTGACATAAACATCTAGTAGATTTGGAGAAATTGAATAATATTATAGTGGCAAGCTATGATTTAATAGAGGATAAATATAACTGGGGTCATTTTAGACAACAGTTATGCTGTATACATTAAGGGAGAATGTTATTTTAATTTGCAAGTGCTTTTACCAATAACATAGGAAACAATTTGCAAGTTGCTTTGCCTCTATGCTTTCCTTGTCTCAATTATTATTTTTATTATCGTCCATTGCGTATTCCCATCAATAGTATTTCTCTTTGACTCTCAAATCAAGTTTAAAAATGGAAAAAAATTCAACTCTTTAACAACATGAAAAAGCCAAAAGTTCTGCCATCCTTTAATTTTAGATTAATATGATAAATCATTTATTTTGTTATAATTAATATAATGTTAATACGTTATCAACCATATTATTTGTGATATGATCATTTTTGCCATGCATTTATTTGGTTGTTGGCCGAGATTTTATTTTATAGAATAAACAATATAGTAGCGTAAATTTAGAGGACAAGATATATATATATATATATATATATATTTTGGTGGCTTTAGAAATTTTCTGCATTATAGACAGTAATGGCTTTAGTTATTTGCATTTATCTTGAGATTACACAGTGGTGAACTTGCAATTGGTTGAGTGATAATTGTTGTTATTTCTTGTGTGATAGCCAATAGGTAGATAAAGATTAAAAATAGACAATGGCAACATCTGGCTCTGGGTCTTCTTCACAATCTAGTAGAGGTAGGACTAATATAACATGGGCACATGTTATTGAGGGTGTAGATCCAAATGGAAGGAAGACATTAACATGTCTTCATTGTGGGAAAGTAACTAGAGGAGGATGTATTTTTAGAATGAAACAACATCTAGCTGGAACAAAGGGGGATGTTGGTGCTTGTAAAAAAGTTCCTTTTGATGTTCAATACTCCATGAGAGAATCACTAAAAGACCTTGGGATAAAGAATAAAGAGAAGGCTGATTCTAGTAAGTATAATACTCCCTACAGTGCTCCCGTACATGTATTTGAGGGAGATATGTTAAATAAAGATAGTGAAGAGTTTCGTCCATCAGGAATTCGCATAAATGAAGGTAGGTTTGGCAGTAAAAAACAAAGTACAATGCTACACAAATCAAAGAGAAACAAATCTATTGGGGTTGGTGACTATTTTGCTCCAAGGACAATTGGTGGATCTCAACCATCAATTAGGAGTTGTTTAGCTGGAAAAGATGCGACGTGGAGAGCAGACATGGCTTTTGAAAGATTCTTTTATGATGCTTGCATCCCAATTAATGCTGTAAATTCAATTTATCTTCAGCCTTTGGTGGATGCTATAGCTGCAATTGGGCCTGGGGTAGAAAATCACCCAAATTATCATGCTTTGCGTGCAATTTGTTAGAGATGATAAGAGGAAGTGCACTTCTTGTTGATAGTTATAGAAAGATTTGGGAAAATGTTGGATTTACCTTAATGGCTGATGTGGACTGATAATTCACATAGGTCATTGATCAATTTATGGTGTATTGTCCTAAGGGAGTTTGTTTTGTGAAATCAGTTGATGCTTCAGATGTTGTAAAGGATGCTGGACATTGTTGAAGATGTTTGAGGAGGTAGTTTTATGGATTAGACCATGTATTGTCCATTTTGTCTCAGACAATGGATCCAATTTAAAAACTGCTGGAAGAATGTTGTCTGAGAAATATCTGGGTATTACTTGGTCACCCTGTGCAGCACATAGCATAAATTTAGTGTTAAAACATGCTTAGATGATCACATAGTTTACTTGCGAGACGTGCTTCTAAGGTGACGAAGTTTGTATATAATCATACATTTTTGATGCTTGGTTGAGGAAAAGACAGGTAATATACTTTTAGCTCATGTTCTTGTCAAGTCATAACATAATATGCATTTTTTATTATTGACTAACACTATTATTTATCAATTGAACGGGTTGGAAAGAAATTGTTCTCCGGGTACAGCCCGTTTTGCTACAAATTTCATTGCAATGAGAAGCATTCATGAGCACAAACATGACTTGCAAGCCATGGTGACAATAGGTCATTTGTCGATTCTCGATATGCAAAAGGTATAAAGGCAAACATGTTATTGAAATAATTTTGGATAACGATTTTTGGGATGATATGGGTAAGATATCCAAAGTTGTGAGTCCATGATGCTTGTTAGGATTGTTGACTCAGATGAGAAGCCAGCAATAGGATATGTGTATGATGTATGTACAGAGCGAAAAATGCAATTAAGAAGTTGTTTAAAATAAAAAGAAATTCTACAAGCCTTATACACGAATCATTAAGCTACGTTGGATAGGACATTGCGTCGTGATCCATTTTGCGGCTTATTATTTGAATCCTACCTTTAAATATGACAGAATCTTTTTGCCTCAAGCCAGAAGTCATGAGTGGTTTCCTTGATACTATTGAAAGTAACAAGTGCTTTCAATTTGAGCAAGACAAGGTTAATGAGAAGAGTAGATTTATTCAAATCGGGAGGAAAGCTTTTCTCGCGGGCTTGCTCTTGAAACCGCCAAAACCACACGTCCTGGTACGTAATAGTTATAAAATTTTAAGTTCTTTTGTTTTTTAAGTCTAATTTATTTCTTATGTTTAATTTTCAATTAGATGAATGGTGTGGATCATTTGGGTATAGTACTCCAAATTTGCAAAAGTTTGCAATAAAAATTCTAGTCAAACTTCAAGCTCTTCTGGATGTGAACGAAATTGGAGTGTTTTTGAGCTCATACATACTAAAAAAGGAATAGATTGGAGCATCAAAGGTTGAATGATCTTGTTTTCGTTCACTATAACTTGCATTTGCAAACAGGAATAAACATTGTCAATTACTCAATTATGCATCACTTTTATTGTATTTATCTATTATTTTCCTTGATATTTTAGTTGTCATGCTTTTAATATTTCTTTATGGTATTTTAGGAAGTGTTACAAGGAATAAGTTTAGATCCTTGATTATGAAAGTAT